CAAAATGCAGCACATGTGGGTGAGCAGCCGCCTTGGGAGAGTTTCCTTGTGGCGATGCCAAGAGACCTTAGGTACAGATGCCAAATAGGGAGGGGGATGGGACATCCCGCAAAGGTCAGGATCAGAGGGGAGGCCTGGGCTAGATGGGAAAATACCACTTCGCAGGCAGGCAGGCAGGCAGGCGATAGGGTGAAGCAGTAGAGGTGCCGGGGTTACTTAGGAAGGACAGGCAGAGCCGACCTGAAGAGAGAGGAAGTTCCAGAGGAAGAGAAAGTTGGCAGGGGAAAAACCCAATCAGAGCAACGTGGGATCAGAAACCAAGAGAGGCCTTTTGTTTAGTTTTAAAATAAAGGCTGGAGGGCCCCTGGGGCAGAGGATGAGGAAGGGTACAGAGCTCCTGAGTGCTGCTGTGAGTCAGAGGGAGTGAAGGCAGGGTGTGTTTCTCTCAACACCAGAGACTCTAGAACGTGTTGGCGAACTGCTAAGAATGACCTGCTGGAAAGAAAACGCTACACTCCAAGAGCCAGGGAGGGAGAAAGCACCAGAAGCAAATCAGTGAACAGGGACTTGGTGGCTGTGTGTGTGTGTGTGTGTGTGTGTGTGTGGAGTCCCGGACAGAGGTGGGAGGAGAACTCCCAGAAGGCAGGAGGGAGATTTCCTCCACTTTTAGAGGAAGAGAGACAGCCAAAGGCGCAGGCGGGATGAAAAGCAACTGGGGAGCATCTCTTGCGTTTCCTATTTTTAGTGAGGTGTAAGACATGTCTCTTAACTTGGAAGCTGCTGGAGGAGGGGGATGGGCAGTTGGAGGAAAGCAGGGGAAGTGGGAGTAGTTGTCTCGGAAGGAGGAAGAGCACACTTCCTGAGCAGGTGTAACTGCACCGCCAGGCAGGGCCTACTGGGACTCGGGCACACGGCTGTGCCATGGTAACAGTTAGCCCATGCACAGTGCCTTGGGTCAAAGTGGATGGTAGAGTTAGTTAGCCAGATTGGGGTTTTGCCAGCTGATGAATAGAAAGAGAGAAAGCCAAGTAAGAGAGCTGATTCTTGGCGAAATTCCAAAGAGCTTGTGGAAGTCAAAGCAGGAGGGTCAAGGGTGGGGTGAAAGTGTATCCGGTAATGGATTAGAAGCCTTCTGAGGCCAGAGCAGTGTTGCAGTGTGGATCCTGGAGCAGGTGAGCCCGAGCAGACAGAGGCTCATAATGGAGTTTGTGGCTGTCGTAGTGCTATTTCCAGGGATGGCGAGGTCCAGGATGTCATCATTGGCTGGCGGTTGGTGACGAGTGGTAGGAAACTCATCAGAGACGACAGAGGGTTCCCGAGGAGCTAGGAGTTGCTAAGGATTATGGAATCTTCTTGATATTTGTTGTAGAAAACAAAATTCCTGGTAGGCAGTGAAAGTTCTATGCAGCTCTTCTAGTGCTGTCTTCATAGCTGTGGGGTCTTGCTAGCCGCTTTCTACCTTTGACATTTACTTATTTAATTTTTTAAAATATTTATTTGAAAATCAGATCAAAAGAGAGAGAGAGAGATCTTCCATCTGTGTTTACTCCCCAAATGGCTGCAATGGCCAGGGCTGGGCCTATCCGAAGCCAGGAGCTTCTTCGACGTGGATGCAGGGGACCAAGCCCTTGGGCCATCTTCCTCTGTTTTCCTAAGTGCATTAGCAGGGAGCTGGATCGGAAGTGGAGCAGCCAGGACTCGAACTGGTGCTCATATGGGGATGCTGGTACCACAGGAGGCAGCTTTACCTGCTACACCAGAGCACTGACCCTTATTTATTTCATTTTTAAAAATAAACAACAGATATGTATTTCTCATGGCTTTAGAGGTTAGCAAGTCCAACATGAAGGTGGTTTCAGAATGCACACCTGGCAAGGGTCCATCCTGCTTGGCCTCACATAGTAGAAGCTTTGACTTTTTTTTTTTTTTTTTTTTTTTGACAGGCAGAGTTAGACAGTGAGAGAGAGAGAGAGAGACAGAGACAGAGAGAAGAAGCTTTGCCTTTAAATGTCAGTTAGCACCTGCTTTCTCGGTATATGCCACCGTCCCATACATCATGGGGCCCAACACTGAGATTCCATAATGGCAATCAGTGCTTCAGGTTTCTTTTCAGATGGTATAATTTCAGAATTGTTGTACCATTGTTCCTTTTTAATAAAGGGGATCACCAAATTTTTGAGTAGCAGAGTGTCCCTAAGTAGAAACTCTGTATGAAGACTGAAAAGGTTCCTGTTTTGGGGGCATATTATATTTTTTTAAAGAATTATTTTATTTATTTGAAAGAGTTATAGAGAGAAGTAGAGCCAGAGAGAGGTGTCTTCCATTCCACTGGTACATTCCCAAATGACCGCAATGGGCAGAGCTGAGCTGATCTGAAACCAGGAGCCAGGAACGTCTTCTTGGTCTCCCATGTGGGTGCAGGGGCCCAGGGACTTGGGTCATCTTCTACTGCTTTCCCAGGCTATAGCAGAGAGCTGGATCGAAAGAGGAACAGCTGGGACTAGAACCGGCGCCCATATGGAATGGCGGTGCCTCAGGCCAGGGCTTTAACCCGTTGCGCCACAGTGCCAGCCCCTTTCTGGTCATATTAAAAACCAGACAAACAAAAACCTGCAGAACACAGCTTAGAAAAACAGAAGTTGAGAAAGACTTGAAAAATGTCCATAAGAGAAACAAAGGGTGTATTTTCACTCCTTTAAAAAATATTTCTATTTTTTAAAAAAGAATTTATTTATTTGGATGACAGAGTGACACAGAGAGAAGGAGAGACAGAGAAAGAAAAGGACAGAGATTTCTTTCATCTGTTGGTTCACTTCCCAAATGGCCTCAAGCAGAGGCTGCTCCAGGCCAAAGCCGGGAGCCTGGAACTTCATCCAGGTCTCCCATGCACGGGGCAGGTGCCCAGGTACTTGGGCCATCTTCCGCTGCCTTCCCAGGTGCATTAGCAGGGAGTTGGATGGGATGCAGACCAGCCTGAACTCAAACCAGCACTCTGCTAGGGAATGCCGAGGTTGCAGGTGGCAGCTTGGCTCACTGGACCTCAATGCTGGGCCCCGTATTTCTATTCTAGTCCGTGTTCTCAGGACTACTAACTACTGCAAGTCCTTATCAAATGAATGAATGGTCCTTGTAGAAAATTACAGAACAGCTACAAGAAGTGTGAGAAAAATACCTCCTCCACAAACTAGAAGTCTCTAATCCTACCATATAGGTAACTAATGAACATTTTGGCAAATACTCTCATAGACACACAAATGCCCTTCTGTATGAATGTATAATGCAATGTCTGGTGATAACAAACACCAGATTCAGCACAGTGATGGGCTTCTGAGCCTGGAAGGAGGAAAGTGGATGTGAGTGAGGAAGATTATGCCAAGAGTTTCAGCTGTACTGGCGATTAATTTATTTCTTTGGACGATGGATGCATGGGAGTATATTAAATTATGCATTACCTTTTTCTATATCTAAATCACTTCATATTACATTAAACATCTTCCAAGATGTTTTAATGCAGGCAACACACATGACTCCTTTGACAAAAGGGGGGAGTATGCAACCCTTCCAGCTTTGAATTCTGATTTTTTTTCTTTTTTTCCCTTTTACTCTATACCTGTCCATGGTAGTAGATATACATCAAATCAGTTTCACTTTGTAGAATTACAATATATGGGGGCCAAGCTGTGGTGTAGTGGGCTAAGCCTCCCTCTGCAGTGCCGGCACCCCATATGAGTGCCGTTCATGTCCCGGCTGCTCCTCTTCTTATCAAACTCTCTGCTATGGCCTGGGAAAGCCCTCTACCCACGTGGGAGACCTGGAAGAAGCTCCTGGCTTCAGATCGGTCCAGCTCAGCCTCTCAAATAAATAAATAAATAAATAAGATCTTTAAAAAAAAAGAATTATAATATATGAAGGGTAAGTTAGTTAATCACTTCCTTGTTTGAGGGTATTCATTCAATAGATGATTCTGAATGCCTGTAGGCCATGCCATTAGGCTGTTACCGCTTTGGGAAAAGCTATTGTAAATGCAATCCTGGAGTAGTGAGACTTAGTGACGCATGACGTAGTGACGTATGGCGTCGTAGTGACCTATATGACGTAGTAACATATGGCAACACAGTGACGTGTGACGTAGTGACGGAGGCGGTAAAGGGCTTGTTTTCTCTGGCTGTGGGGGAAATGTGGGGAGATAATATGGATTGAGAGGTGCTAACTTGGTAAGTGAGAGTGTTGGAGCAGGGGAAAGTGCATCGTTATCCTGCTGTAACCCGGATGTGCCCTGAGGTGCTGACTTCTCCCTAGCCCTCTGCTGCAGGGCCCAGGGGCTGCTGGCAAAGCCCCGTGGAGGGTTGGCCTCCTTCACCAGGGCGTAGGGTGGTCTGGCCTGTTCCTTGGTGTGGTTGCCGTGTTCTTCTTTCTTTGGACCTAACTTCCCTTCCCTAATCAGGTGCAACAGTGACTCTCCCTGAGAACACAGCAACACTGGGTGTGTGGAACCGGCCTGGGCCTTGGACTGAACTGACCAAGTGTCTTTCTTTATTTTTTTCCCCCTTAAGATTTATTTATTTGAAAAGCAGAGGGACAGAAATAGAGAGATCGTTCCTGGTTCGCTCTCCAAGTGGTCACAATCACCAAGGCTGGGCCAGGCTGAACCCAGGAGCCAGGGAGCTCTGTGGGAGTCTCCCACAGCCAAGGACTTGGGCCACAACACCAGCCCTAACTTAACCAAATTTCTAATCAACATCTGACTTGTGTTTGTGTGTGTGTGTTTTTTTTTTTCCCCACTGATAAAAATCAGTGGCTGGCTGGATTGCTGATGGGTTTGGTCCATGTGAGCAGGTGAGGCGTGCAAATCCTATCACTCCCCGGCTGACTTGGATCAAGGGTCTGCATCGCAGCATAGCCACAGTCTGCAAAATGAGGAGGCCACACAGGACAGGCTGTTGTGTGGAGGACATCTAGGATGCACACCAGTCGGAGAAGCTAACATTTTGTTGTTTCAGGAATGGCGTACGCCCTCCTCGCTGCAGTTCCTCTTGGATATGGTCTCTACTCTGCTTTTTTCCCAATCCTGACGTACTTTATTTTTGGAACATCAAGACACATCTCAGTTGGTAATTATAAGCATGTTTTATGATTATATTTGTTCATATCGGCCTGTACTCTGTGCTTTGTACATCCTGATCTTGTTAATGTCCCCCAGAGAAGTAGGACTTCAGTGTGTGCCTGTTTTTCTTATTCGATGATGTTAGTTTTATAATATGACTCTTTTTGATGAAGAGGAAAAAAATTTAAGGACTAAAACACATCAATTTTAGCATGTTTTAATTTTTAAGAGTTATCTGTTTATTTGAAAGTCAGAATCACAGAGGGAAAGAGAGCTTGATCGTCTATCTGCTGGTTCATTCCCCAAATGGTCGAAACAGCCAGAGCTGGGCCAGGCCAAAGCTAGGAGCCAGGAGCTTCTTTTGGGTCTCCCACGTAGGTGCAGGGGCCAAAAGACTTGGGCCATCTTCTGCTGCTTTCCCAGTTGCACTAGCAGGGAGCTGGATTGGAAGTGGAGCAGCTGGGACTTGAACTGGCACCCCTCTGGGATTCCGGTGCTACAGACAGTGCTACAGGCAGTGACTGCTGTGCCACAGTGTTGGCCCCATGTTTTCATTTTAAAAAATGGGGTTAGTGATGTGACGCAGTGGGTTAAAGCCCTGGCCTGCAGGCCGGCATCCCATGTGGGCAGCGGTTCGAGTCTCTGCTGCTCCACTTCCCAGCCAGCTGCCTGCTGATGTGCCTGGGAAAGCAGCGGAAGATGGTCCAAATGCTTGGGCCCCTGCACCCATCTGGAAGAAGCTCTTGGCTCCTGGCTTCAGATCGGCTCAGCTCTGGCTGTTGCGGCCATCTGGGGAGTGAACCAGGGCATGGAAGACTTCTCTCTGTCTCTACCTCTCTCTGTAACTTTTTCAAATAAATAAAATACATCTTTAAAAAAATTTTAAAATATGATACATTTAACTTCATATTTAGAAAGTGTTGTCTTCCAGAATATAAAGTGACAGGTGAAAAAAGTCACAAGGTCTTTGAAACTAGTGTTTTACTAGATGGATTTAGCCTCCCAAGTTATGCTTGTCAAATACATATTCATTATTTCATTAAAGAGCATACTTATATCAAGTCACTAATATTGGAAGACTGGCAAAATGTTGCCAAAACAGCTTAGAAACTAAGTTTGGCTTTCCTTCTTGGTATTTCTCATAATAGATTTTCCTGCCACTCCTAAAATGTGAATTCTCTTTTGCTATAATGTTCTTGTTAATGAATGCTTTAATGCTATTTTGTAACTGTGACATTTATGCTAGAGATAATTTCGCTCCTCCATCCATCTGCTGGCTAGACATGTCTACCTGAATGAGTCTTGAAACAAATACAACCATCGCCTCTATTCCAGCCCATATCCTTGTGCTTAGCTGTATGCTTCCCAGTAGCTAGCTTATTGCCTTGTCTGAAGGAGGAGGTCAGGACAAGGTTATTGCTTTAAATAACTTCCTTATCTTGGTGCAATAATTAGTGTCAAATGCCTGACTACATGAAGAATATAGAAGTCGATTTTTCTTTTTGATACTGTGTCATTTAGATGTTCTAGATCCCAGGGTTTGGATACTTATTCCTCCCCGTGATAAAGCCATCCCTGACCAAAGGATAGGATTATCATGATGGGTGAAAACATCAGTAGTGATTGAAGCACTTGTTGGAAGAAAAGAGTACTTTAAAAACATACAATTTTCTATTTGACATTAAAAAAAAATACTCTGTCTCGCCAAGAGAAAAAGAACCTATAACACACCTTTGGTCATGTGGGCCCTGTGGTATTGATCAAGGCACTCAGATCAAGATGTTGGGAACTCTAGGAAAGGAATGAGAGTATTTGGCATGAAAACTAGATGGAACAAGTAAAGAATCAACGCCTAGGCTACCTCTGCGGGAAAGCCTTCCTCAAAGCTCCCCATCCCTACCCCAGCCTCCGTGCAGGTGAGGATCACCCAGATGAGGCCATCACCTGCCCACACATCTCTCACGCCCACGGGTGGATCAGGAATGCCTTAAGACATCCAGTTTTTAGTTTGTTTTGTGGACAAGTGATATTTGCCTGGTCACAGGTAACGACTTCACACAGCTGTCTGATCCTATGTAGACTCACTGTGCCTAAACACATGTGGTTAATAATTGATTCATTGATGGAGACTTTCCCCCCAGGACCTTTCCCCGTGGTCAGTTTAATGGTGGGATCTGTTGTTCTGAACATGGCCCCTGATGAACACTTCCTCATACCCGGTAATGGGACCACATCAAACACCACTGTCGTAGACTCTGTCGCTAGAGATGCCGAACGTGTGTTGGTTGCCAGCGCCCTCTCTCTTTTGGTTGGAATCATCCAGGTAATGGGCAGATCCCTTGGTGAGCTTTTTATTTGCAATAATTAACTTAAAGGCATGTAGACTTAAGGATTCCTCTAAAAGCAAAACTAAGCAATTTCCTGGACCCCACAGTTATTTTTTTAAATTGCATTAAAAAAAAAAAGATTTATTTATTTGAAAGGCAAATTACAGATAGAGGGAGAGACAGAGATGCAGAGGGAGAGAGAGGTCTTCCATCCACTGGTTCACTCCACAAACGGCCACAATGGCTGGAGCTGGGTTGATTCGAAGCCAGGAACCAGGAGCTTCTTCTGGGTCTCCCTCGTGGGTGCAGGGACCCAAGGACTTGGTCCATCTGCTACTGCTTTCCCAGGGTGTCAGCAGAGAACTGGACTGGAAGTGGAGCAGCCAGGACCCGAACCATTCATATCGGATGCTGGCATTGCAGACGGCTGCTTCATCAGCTAGGCTACAACACCAGCCCTAAGTTACATTGTTTTAGGTTAGGCGCTAAAATAGTTGGCAAGACTCAACTTATTAAGGCTCACTTGTCATCAAAGTCAGAGGCAGAAAAGTGGCACAGAGGGACATGAGTGATGCATTTGAGGGTGAGAGAAGAGAATGTGTGGGAACCCATAAAGGAGAAAAAGTATTATGCTAAGCAGGCGTATAGGATTTGAAAGACACAGAAATAAGCTACCTGGTTTTGCTTTTTGGAATATGTACATAGAAACACTTTAAGGTTATATTACTCATGGTTTTCCAATGTTAGAGTGGTGGAGGGGAGGGGAGAGGCAGGGCATTAAGAAAATCAAATTTGTTTTCTCCAAGAATTTTTTTTTTCAGATTTATTTATTTGAAAGGCAGAGCTACATGGAGAGAAGGAAGAGATTGATCTTCCATCCGCTAATTGGAAGACAGCTTTAAAAAAAAAAAGATTTTATATATTTATTTGAGAGTCAGAGTTACAGAGAGAGGGAGAGACAGAGAGAAAGGTCTACCATCCACTGGTTCACTCCCCAAATGGCTGCAATGGCCCAAGCTGGGCCAATCCAAAGCCAGGAGCTTCTTCTGTGGGTCTCCCACATATGTGCCGGGGTCCAAGCACTTGGACCATCCTCCACTGCATTCCCAGGCCATTAGCAGGGAGCTGGGTCGGAAGTGGAGCAGCCAGGACTAGAAATGGCACCCATATGGGATGCTGGCACTGCAGGCAGAGGCTTAGCCTACTATGCCAAAGTGCCAGCCCCTTTGCCAAGTATTGTGTGATAGACAGGATACCAGTGTTTTAATTGGTGTTCAGCTGAGCCTGTTTATATTTCCAGAGAGTTGGTTCTTTTCTCAGGCAAGCAGTTAAGCCTTCCTTCCTTCTTTTCCTAGTTGATATTGGGAGGTCTGCAGATTGGATTCATTGTGAGGTACTTGGCGGATCCTCTGGTTGGTGGATTCACAACAGCTGCTGCCTTCCAAGTGCTGGTCTCACAGGTGAAGATCGTCCTCAATGTTTCGACCAAAAACTACAATGGAGTGCTCTCCATCATCTATGTAAGTGTCACGTCTTGCGCCAGGGATGGGTCACTGTTCATCCCAGAAAAAAAAAATCTGTTTTTTCTCTCTTGACCATGACTCTGGGGAACCTATATTCTTCCATGTGTCCTTTGGAAGCCATTGAAAACACTGAAGCCATAGAGTTCGGAACATTTTATTTATTTATTTTTTGAAAGGCAGAGTTACAGTGCACAAGAGAGGTCTTCTATCTTCTGGTTCACTCCTGAAATGGCCACAAAAGCTGGGGCTGGGTCAGGCTGAAACCAGGAGTCTGTTGCTTTTTCCAGGTTTCCTATGTGGGTGTCAGGGACCCATGTGCTTGAGCCGCTGTTTTCCCAAGTGCATTGGCAGGGAGCTGCATCAGGAGAGCTGGCGCCTATGTGGGATGCAGGCAACACAGGCAACAGCTTAACCCACCACAACACTGGCCCCTTGGAACATTGAAGATAGCAGATTTTGCAAATCATTGCCCTTAATGGGTCATAATGGTTTTGCAAATATCACTGCACTTAAAAATGTTAATGTCAGCAAAGTGGCACAATGAAGTAAAGACCAGTGTGACAGTGCAATAGACTTGAGTTCTAGTCTCAGCTTTGCGTCTGACAGTCTGAGTGACCTTGGTTACTCTGTAGTGGGTGGTGGCTAAAAGGTCAGGCTTAGAGCAGGATGCACCAGTATCTAAATTTGGACTCTTCTGCTACTAGCATGTAAGCAAAGCACTGTGCCTCAGTTCCCTTCTCTGTGCAATAGGATCTACCTGGTTGTATTAAATAAAAACAAACAGTGGGGCTGGCACTATGGCACAGCCAGGTAAAGCCCTGACCTGAAGCACCAGCATCTCATATGGGCGCCGGTTCTAGTCCTGGCTGCTCCTCTTCCAATCCAGCTCTCTGCTATGGCCTGGGAAAGCAGTAGAAGATGGCCCAAGTCCTTGGGCCCCTGCCCCCATGTGGGAGACCCAGAAGAAGCTCCTGTCTTCGGATTGGTGCAGCTTCAGCCGTTGCAGCCATCTGGGGAGTGAACCAGTGGATGGAAGACCTCTCTCTCTGTCTCTATCTCTCTCTGTAACTCTGTCTTTCAAATAAATAAAATAAAATCTAAAAAAAAAAAACAAAAAAAAAAAAAAAAAAAAACACAAAAAACAGACAAGGACCCCACAGCCCAGATACTGGCACATAATAAGTATTCAAAAAAGTTCTTTTGAAATTGCGATTTTTTAAAAAGATTTATTCCGTGTATTTGAAAGGCAGAGTTATAGAAAGAAAGAGGGAAATACACAAGCACACACACACACACACACACAGATATCTTCCACCCCCTGGTTCACTCTCCAAGTAGCTGCAACAGCTAGGGCTGAGCTAGACCAAAGCCTGGAGCCAGGAACCTCTTCCAGTTCTCCCAAGCAGGTGCAGGGACTCAAACACATAGGCCATCTTCAGCTTTCCCAGGCCCATTATTAGTAGGGGGCTGGATCAGAAGGGTAGCAGCTGGACTCGAACTGGAGCCTACATGGGATGCTGGCTTCACAGGCAGCAGCTTTACCTGCTATGCTGCAATGTTGTTCCCATTATTTCTTTTTTTTTTTAAATTTACTTATTGATTTGAAAGGCAGAGCATCAGAGAGAGAAATGGAGAGAGAGAGAGAGAGGGAGAGAGAGAGAGAGAAAGAGAGAGAGATCTTCCATCTACTGGTTCAGTCCCCAAATGGCCATGACAACCAGGGCTGGGCTAGGCCAAAGTCAGGAGCCAGGAACTCCATCCAAGACTTCCCCACGAGTGGCAGGGACAGAAGCACTTGGGCCATCTTCCGTCTACCCAGGCACATTAGCAAGGAGCTGGATTGAAAGCAGAGCAGCCAGGACTGGAAGCAGCACTCTGATAGGGGATGCCAGTGTTTTTAGTGGCAGTTTAGCCCATTGCACCATACCATGGGTCCCTGAAATTGTTATTTCAGGGCTTCTTGACTTTGTTATCAGTAAAATGAAACGATCGGTGGTGTATCTCTAAAGCCCTAACCATAAGAGTCCACAAAATGCATGATGTAAATGTCTCAGCAATTATAGAAGAAAAGGAACATTAGATTCAGGGATGACTCAACATGCAAAAGAGATGCAAAAGAAGGGTGGTGCACGTACTAATTAGATCTGAAAAAGTTCTTGGATTTAGATGTATGTTCTTGGAAAATGGTGATAATAGCAACATGATGTCACCCTAGCTTGGAGGGAATGATACTACACAAAAATAGTCTGCCCACAATAAGACTGGGACTTGAGTCCTTTGTTGACCCACGTGTTGGCTTCTAAAACAATGTAAGGCCAGGCACACACACAAGAATTGGCGAGGTTGTCAGGAATTTCCTAACAGTGCCGCAAGCCCACGTAACTGCATCCATTCAACACTTACTACCAAGTGCTTACTGTAGTTCAGGTACTATGCTCAGCAGTGGAAAAAGACAGGGGAGGAGAATCAAACAATGATGATCTTGGACTTGGAACTTCAACAGACTTCAGTTGGAGTTTTGGTTCTGCCCATGCTACCCATGAGACTTTGAGCATGGTACACTTCATTCCGCTGAGCCTTTGTGTCTGCAATTGCAAAATAGTAACTACTTCTGTTATTGTGAGGATTAAAAGAGAAAATTTGCACAAGGTACTTAGCACAGTATTGGATACTTAGTAATATCTTAGTTTACCATTATTTTCAGTATCACAGATCTCAGAGCTTGCACTCCCCAGAGACCCAGCCAATTAGAAGGCATTAGAGGCCGGCGCCGCGGCTCACTAGGCTAATCCTCTGTCTAGCAGCGCCGGCACACCGGGTTCTAGTCCCGGTCGGGGCGCCAGATTCTGTCCCGGTTGCCCCTCTTCCAGGCCAGCCCTCTGCTGTGGCCAGGGAGTGCAGTGGAGGATGGCCCAGGTGCTTGGGCCCTGCACCCCATGGGAGACCAGGAAAAGCACCTGGCTCCTGGCTCCTGCCATCGGATCAGCGCGGTGCGCCGGCCGCAGCGCGCCGCCCGCGGCGGCCCTTGGAGGGGTGAACCACCGGCAAAGGAAGACCTTTCTCTCTTGCTCTCTGTCTCTCTCACTGTCCTCTCTGCCTGTCAAACTTGATGGGATTGAATTGAAAAGGCATTAGAACAGGCTATTGGTTAATTCTGCATTGTTTCAGCCTGCCTGCCTGCCTGCCTGCCTGCCTTCCTTCCTTTCTGACAGGTAGAGTTAGTGAGAGAGAGAGAAACACAGAGAAAGGTCTTCCTTCCGTTGGTTCACCCCCCAAATGGCCGCTACGGCCGGAGCTACGCCGATCCAAAGTCAGGAGTCAGGTGCTTCCTCCTGGTCTCCCATGAGGGTGCAGGGGCCCAAGCATTTGGGCCATCCTTCACTGCTCTCCCAGGCCATAGCAGAGAGCTGGCCTGGAAGAGGAGCAACTGGGACAAAACCAGTGCCCCAACCGGGACTAGAACCCAGAGTAACGGCACCGCAGGTGGAGGATTAGCCTAGTGAGCCCCGGCGCCGGCATGTTTCAGCCATTCTTTATTTTCCCCCTCCTACCAAGTCCTCAGTTCTCTCTGAGACTTTCAGAGTACCTTATTCTGAGAAGCTATGCCACTTTTATTGCCGCTGACATATTTTGCTTTACTTGGTTTCATACTTAACCCAATGATTCCTTCATTCCTTCATTGTCATCCATCCATCCATCCATCCATCCATCCCTCCATCCAGTAAATATTTGTTAAATGCCAAGCATTGTTCACTCCCTAAACAAACCCACTACTTCTTGAACCCATTGAGATACTTCTTACCAAGTGGACTCACTTCTTTGTGCAAACATTGCTAGGCCTGTTTCTACGTAAATCACAGAAGGCCCAGGCCAATGGTCTTGGCCACTGATGCATGCTGAAGAGCAGGTAGAATCTTGTTTGGTCTCCCAGGATATGTCCAAGAAGAAACTTGTCACAAGTGATTGCATTTTGACAGGGACAAAAGTGACCAGAAAACACTAAAGCAAGATCAAAACGATTGGCTTTTCATTTTAATTTTAAATTGAATTGTATTTGAAAGGCAGTGAGACAGAGAAATATCCTCCATCCACTGATTCACTCTCCAAATGCCTGCAACAGCCGGGGTTAGTTAGGCCAGGTTAAAGTTGGGTGCCTGGAACCCAATCCAGTTCTTCCACTTGGGAAGTAGGGATCCAACTACTTGAGCCATTATCTGCTGCCTCCTAGGGTGCACATTAGCAAAGTGAGCAGAGGCCAGACCTGACTGTAGGCACTCCCATGTGGGACACAAGTATCCCAAGTAGCATCGTTACTGCTGCACCAAATGCCTACCTCATCAAACGCAGTTGCTAGGGGACTTCTTTCCTGTTGACTACTACTCTTGAAGTCCCAGTTTAGTGTGTGTCATAGGATTTTTTTTAAATAGGCTTTATTTCTTAGAGAAGTTGTAGGCTGACAGCAAAACTGAACAGGAAATGCAGAGTGTTCCCATCTATCCCCTGTCTGACCCACAGTGCCACAGCCAACATCCCTCATCACACCAGCATGCAGCATTAGTTAACAGCTGATGAGCTGACTGTCTCAGAATTCTGCAGGGAATTCCTCCCAGGCCAGCCAAGTTGCATGAAGGTGTTCTACTCATCCCTGCATAAGCTGGTGAATACCAGCTTTCCTTTCTGGAAAGAAAGATTAGGTAGGTCTGGAAATGACTGCAGAAAAGTTGCATGAGTCACTTGGTCCCTGAAGAGAGGATTTTGTTTAGGACCTCACTGTTGCACTCCTTCATGAAAGAATCCTTCAACAGGTGCAGAGAAGTGGTCGATTTCTTGAGGAAAGACCGTACAATTGTTGGAAGAGACTTTGCCTTCAGTATAGTTCATATTGTCCATATTGTAAGGTGTTGTCCCTTGGTTTGTCTTATCCTCTTCAACCAAGGAGCTACTGGCAATTGGAAATAGTCAATACAAAGAACTGAAAGAGGAGACATTAGAAAGAA